ATGACCTCTGAGGCCCCTTCCAGCCCAGGATTGCTGTGCTGTTTCAAAGCATCCTCTGAAGCTGCGTCTAGTGCCAGGGTTTGTGGTCCTTCCTCTCCTTTTTCTTTCCCTCCCTCCCTCTACCCACCCATCCATCCATCTCTCATTCACATTCCTTTCCCTTCCCTCTTTCTCCCATCCCTCCCTCTTTCTTTTTCTTCTTCCTTTTAAGAGAAAGAAAGAAAGAAAGAAAGAAAGAAAGAAAGAAAGAAAGAAAGAAAGAAAGAAAGAAAGCTACCATGCATCTCTATGCTATTCATGGTATATTTTCAGCTTGAACCTCTTTCTACTTAAACCAGAGGTCCCCAAACTTGGCAACTTTAAGATTTGTGGACTTCAACTCCCAGAATTCTCCAGCCAGCATAGCTGGGAGTTGAAGTCCACAAGTCTTAAAGTTTGCCAAGTTTGAAGACCTCTGACTGAAACCTTAGTACAACACACAGATATTAAACATCTTGGATTAATCTTGAGACTTTTTGCATACTTATACTTAAACAGAAATAATTTTATTTTAACACATATGGCTTCAATTCCAAAGCTACTTTTTATGAAGACCAAGTCAAGAAAAGGAGATTAGAAACAAAGGAAAGGTTAACCTTCGCATTCTTTCTAACCCTTTCTAAATGACAAGTAGGATTGAGCCTTTCTACTTGCCATTTTATTACCAATAATTTACCACCATCTTCAAATTAAAGAGTTGCCTTCCAATAACAAAAAAACTCAAGTTTGCAAAAGTAACAGCACATAATTTTGCATGTTAAACATCGAACCACAAAGTAGAAGAGGGAAAATATTTGTGAGAAATATTTACTATGTTTTTTGCTTGTCAAACTTAACAGGCCATTGGACACTCCATAAAGGTTGTAACAGCAAAAGAAGTAATGAAGCAGCTGCTAGGCAAACTGCTGAATAGTCTGAATTATGCTTTGGAAATTGTGTAATGTATGCTCTGAATGAGACCTCTACAAAACCCACACTGAACTTACCACACTAAGCCTGGCATGAAAAAGCAGAGCAACTTACTAGTTTTGAAGAGGAGGATATGGAAGAAGAAAGAAGATTGGCTCCAACAGTTTTAGGAGACTGCATAATTTTGTTTACCCAGAACATTCTCAAGGCAGTAATCAATACTGAATTAGCTCCAAATGTTCTTTTGGATAAACACTGAATCCAGGCACAGTGGATAGCTGGATGCTCCCAGGAGATTGCAGGGAGGCCTCCTAGGCCCAAAACGGGACCTAGCAAGCCTCCCTGGAGCCTTATGGGAGCAAAAATGGGGTGGGGGTGGCGTTTTCGGCCTAGCAGGCCTCCCTGAAGCCTCTTGGGAGCAAAAACGGGGTGGGGGCAGCACCAGACCACATAACCCTCCATTTTCGGCCTAGCAAGCTTCCCTGGACCCTCTTGGGAGCAAAAATTGGGTGGGGGCGGCAGCACCAGACTCCCCCAATGCCCGTTTTTGCTCCCAGGAGGCTACCCTACACTTACCTGGTAGCCGGACAGGCTTCATGGGGATTCCTGGGAGGGGAGGGGCAGGGCAGGCGGGGCCAGCTGGTTTCAGAACTACCGGTTCGCCGAACTGGATGTAAAAATAAAATCCAGTTCTTGCAAACCGGCCTGAACCGGTAGAATCCCACCCCTGGATACATGTACTAAATTATAAGCCCTAGTATAGCTTGTCAATACAAGAAAATAATTGAAAGACATTAAAATAAATTTACATTCCTGATGACTTCATGGACACGCTCATAGAGCTGATTCAATCAGGCATCGATGGTAGATTTCAGGATCCTTCAATTAAACAAATTCCTGATTCTTTCAACAGGAGATCTCGGAAGTAGAAAGCCCATGAGGTAGCTTTACTGTGTATAGGATGTTGACCCATTCTACTTGTTTTCAACTTTTTCAACTGTTATATGATATCGTTTTATAATTGTTTACTTGATTGTTTTATTCTACACTACTCAGAGTGATGTATATGAGTTGTGTAGTGCTATAAATCTGATAAATACATTTGTGAGGAACCCAAAAGTGTGCTTTCACTGTCTTGGCAGCTGGCCTCTGGAACGAAGTTCTCTCCACCAAACCCCCTCAGCCCACCCCAAGATTTGAATGGCCTTCATTTTGTTGATGTTTTACCCAGGTCTTTGGCAAGTGAGATTGAAGCTCCTTTTTCTACTTTTTCTTTGTTCTCATCTGGATGTGTCGTCTCTGGTATCTTTGCTCTTTTTGGTTTTGTCTGGTTTTCTTATTTTCAAATGTAGTTAACAATTTGTAAACTGCCCAGAGTTTCTGAGAGTTGGCCAATGTGTGAATTATAGGAATTAAATTTATTATTAGTAGTAATAGTAGTAGTAGTAATTGTAGAAGTATATCTCAGCCACAGTGAGGAAAAAAGTTTGCCACCATCTTTTTTACAAATAGGTTTGCAGTTTCCCATTGAGCCCTACAATAGCAGTAGCGCTAAGATATTTAGCCTCATAATGATTTACAGCACTCTCTGGGTCATCATTTTACTGACCTCGGAAGGATGGAAGGCTGAGTCAGCCTTGAGCTGTCAGGATCAAACTTCAGCCTTTGGGCAGAGTTAGCCTGCAATGCCGCATTTTAACCACTGTACCACTAGGGCTCATGGATTTCTGATGGTCTCACTCCTAAATATTAAACAGATGCAATACTGTTTAGTTTTTTAAGACCAGCCAGATCCAGCTAGGTGCTGCCACCTACCATAGTAAAAACCCCAAGCACTTTTCTATGCCAAAACTTCGAACTCTAAAATTTGTTCACATAGCCCTGTCTATTTTGTCATCATCATGCCTAATTCAACCACTACTCTCCCCTCATTTTCCCTCTGCAACAGATGGTTGCTGCCAAAGAACAAACTTTGATTCTGCTTACAAAAATCAGATATGGAAACCATGCCTTATGATTGAATTATGAATCCTTCAGATGGATCAGTACAATGGAAAGTATAAAAAGGAGAAACAGCTTTCTTGGTATTAAAAATAAGCAGAGGTGTTTTTTTCCCCTTTAGAAAACTCTGTCCCTTTTCTTTTGTGTTCATGGTATTTTTCTTTATAGAGTTCTGTTATTGGATTATGTTTCCCTTAATCTTCTGGCTCTTTTCTCAGCAACACAAAGATAATAAAAATTAATCTTTGCTTTGGCTGAGAGCTCTGAAAGATGCCAGATTTGCTTGAGGTGAGGACATATGCAACTTGGGAAACCTGTATCAAAATTAAAATCAAGCTGAATATAAATGCTGGGTGGCTTTTTCATCTGCTAAAATTATAAGCATGGTTTTGCTTCTCCAGCCACGAAAATATGCAGGGCAAAGGTGTCTATAGTTATGACAGCCTGGCCTAGAAGATATGCAGCCTGTGTGCGTGGCTTTGCTCCATAATACAAATTGATATATATCAGAAATAGTCACAAAAGAAAGAATTTGGTTAGAGTCACATGTTTCAAGTAATTGGATATGAATAGCTTCATGACTTCCTTAGAGATTCTTCAAACCGTAATTTTGTGGGCGGTTGTAATGTATGACTTCAGAAGAATAACTACCATTATTATCTTCTTCTTCTTCTTCTTCTTCTTCTTCTTCTTCTTCTTCTTCTTC